ACTAGCGAACCCTAATCTTGACATGTTTTTATCAAACTTAGACCAAATTTTATTCCGTTTTCTTTCTTGCAAACTTTAGTTACGAAAATTGAAACCATTCTAAAAACCCCTTTTCTTAAGACATTACACTGTTGAACGACAAGCATTTATATTCTCTTCAATCCCTGTGGAGATGATAAAACACTACCCTAAAATACTTTCTAACAAGAACAAAGATCAAGATTGTTAAAAATAGAAGTAGGCATAACGTTAATAGAAACTCCTGTATCTAACATAAAATTTTTGAATTTACCATCTCCAATGGTACATGGAATAGAAAAAGTTCATGGATCCTTGTATTTATGTGGCATGACCTGATCGAGGGCTGAAACGGTAACCTTTTCAGGTGCAGGTTTAGGCTGAATAAGGGCTGAAATATTTCGTCCCAAATTGACTCTCTCATTTCCCTTCAACCTCCTCTTGTGTGTGCACAAATCTTTCAGAAATTTTGTGTATTTTGGAACCTGCTTAATCACATTAAGAAGCATAATATTTACCGACAATTTTCTTAATACATCTAAAATCTCTTTCTCTTTGTCTTCCTCATCCATCTTATTATATTTCACTAATATTTGTGGGAAAGGAATTGGTGGCACATATTCTTTTTCAACCTCTACAACAGAAGGTTCAGGTGTTACCTCAACACAAGGCTACTCAAGATAAGGATAATATGGTGAATAATGTGAGTGACAACATTAGTGATGTTATTAATGACTATGTAAGTGCTGATGAGGGTTCAATCCCCTATGAACAATGAAGTGATTATGTTAGTGCTGATGAGGGTTCAATCCCCTATGAACAATGAAGCTCATGATGTGTCTACTCCTGTCAATGAAGGTGTTACTAAAGATGTTGGTATAAGTAAAAGGTCTAAAAACAAGAAGTTAAAGAAAATAGTTGGTGGCATAAATATTTCCACAAATGTTTCTATGGATCCCTTAGACAACATGTATTTCCATTTTAAGAAAAGTGTGCTAAAGTGGAAGTATTTGCGTCACAAGAGAGTAGCCTTTGAAAGGAAGCTATCAAAATAAGTTTTGACATATAAAGAGATTTTCTAGCTGCAGGAGGATGTCATTGTGACAGACAATGAGAATCTTATGATAGTTCACATTTGTGACATGTCAGAAGAGATGGTGGATCATTTTATTGAATAAATGCAATATGTATTTGAGTTGAGCATGGTAGGAGATATTACATGCTTTACTTATTTTCAAGTGAAGCAAACGAAGGACTAAACCTTTGATTCCCAAAGTATATATGCTGGAAGTAGTAGCACTCAAGTGTTATGGAGTAACCAAATTCTTAAAGATGTCAATGAAATGGTAATCAAGATGTCAACCAGGATGTTCCAGAAAACATGTATGACATGTTGGTGACTGAGTTTCTAACTCAGAGAAAGGATGAACAAGTTTCCATTGTTAATTCTAAAGTGAATAGAAAGCTTGTTCAAAAAAGTAACTATGAGATGGATGACTAAGAAGAAGTTCTGGACATTGTGCATATTATAAGAAGAAGGTTGGTAGGAAGAGAATTCCTGTGAATGTCTCATCTGCTCACATGGATAATGTTTCATTTCATTTTGAAACAAGTATTATTGTAACTGAGTATACTAATGAAGGCATCAAGGAGTATAGAATGATGTATGATGGAGGAAAATGTGTGAAGCTTTCACCTTTAATTATTAATTAATTGGGAATAATAAAGTTTCTCTCTATTGACAAGATTATGACCTAAGAAGAGGAATTGCAAGTGAGGATGAAGAAGAACATTATGTTGAAGCACTGAAGTATAATGAAATTATTGGGCTTCACAGTGATGCTCGATTGTTGAAGATAGTTCTGAATGTTGAAGTAAGTTATCCTAGGTTGATGAAGGAGATTGAGGTTAAGAATGATGGTATTCCTCATGGGTTATTGAGTTTCAGTTATAAGTTGTTTGTTGAGTAAGATGTCTCAGACATTATGTCCAAATTTGTCTACCAGTTGATGAGTTTAATCTGGTTTTTGATGGAAATATGTTGGAGCTTTTTCACCTCAACTTATTGTTGTTGCTACTGCTATTTTGGTGTTTCTTGTTATGTGTGCTCATGTGGTTTGATTATATAGTACATGTTCCAATTTGAGGTCCATTGGCTGATGATGTGTGCTGGTATGGTTGACTATTATTCATATGAAGCTTGTATTCTAGATCCTGAAGCTTGTTATTTTGTTTATGGTTATTTTCATACCTTTGCCAAATTGTGGCAAAATGGAGGGAGTAATAATCATGTGGGATGTGATGTTCCAGCATGATGTTTTACGTATGTGTTGATCTGATCTCTTGATGTGTAGTAGCCATCTTGCTTTTGTGCTAAGAATAACACTTTCGGTTAAAAATAATTAACATTAAAGATGTTGAGAAGAATAACACCTTACCCATAAAGCTCAATAACACAGGGTAATTTATTTCATTTTTAAATAAATCCTTCACCCGCATATCATGAAATTTCTTCAAATATTCCACCACTTACCTCTTTGTGTCACTAAGATAGGCTAGAAAAAAGCATGTGATATAGAGGGGTTCACTCGTCCAGTATAAAGGAAACCTATAAGATCCATCCTTCTCAAAGATACATATGGGCACCGGGGGATTCCCCTAATCCTAACATACTCATCCTTCCAAATTTTCTGTAATTGGAGGTATAGCAGGAAAGTAAAGCCCACTCTGGGATGGTGCTCACAGGTACCCACCCGTCATAGGATACTCTTTTTTATTCATAATAGGAAAAGAAGATCCTATCAGTGGGTGTGGTATCCAAACCCTCATAGAGGATGTGGAATCGTTGGATGAACACACATCTATTTGGATGAAGTTGAGAGGGAGGCAAAATTTAGCACCTTGAGGACGTCAAACTCTAAAATGATGAAGGGGGCGTTGACCTTGAAATATTCAAAAATGACGGTATAGAAATAGAAAATTTTATTTTCTACCCCAAGAGGTCACCGCGTGTAGATCCTTTCACCACAAACACATGGCGCCAAAATAACATTTTTTTCACTTTCAATGTTGGATAACTTTAGGATAACTCAAAATTCATTTATCCAATGGTCTTCTAGACATATGGAACCTAAATTTAGGACATCTTCACAAAAAAAAGAGATCAGTGGAGTGGCATAAAACTCCATGATAAATTCAAAAGAGCCTGAGGAAAAAGACACCAAATATGTGTCATTATCGCATGATAAACTCTCAAAAGAAGCTAGCATATATCTCTCCACAAACATCCAATCCACTTCCCCTGTTATCCATTATGAAACTTTTAGGCATTGATTCCACAAATATATTATCTCCAAAAACGATTTAGGGCTCTATAAGTCTTCCAAACTTGTCACACTCAAAAATAAAAACCATGAATATAAATAAAATAAGAAAAGACTCAGGATTTTACGTGCGACAATTAGAAAATTACGAACAAGAAAGGAGAAATGAAGTTAACAAGAAGCACGAGCGGATGTTGAGAAAAGACAAAGATCAAACTTGTTTGTAATAAGGAATGACAATGCTTATTTAAGGCCTTAAGTGAAAAACCTCAAAGTTAACACTAGTAACCTAGAAACATAAAAGTAATGATGACCTGACTTCTATGTCAGTCTCAAGGAAGTAAATGATAATTAAAACTAAAATCGTAATAAAAAATAGGAAGTCCAAGAGTTAGAAAGAAAAACCTCTATGAAATAGGCCATAACTTATTATCCCTGGCGAGGAGACAGACGCCCGTACCTATAAATTGAAATAATTGAACATCTCGGTTCCTTCTCCTTAAAAATTGAATCTCCCCCCTTTGGACCCCATGCATTAGAGACTATACTCCGACTTAAGTCGGGCTTGAAAGCGGTTTTGTAACATATTGTATATTTTCCACTCTTTGTGAAAAAAGCGAGTTTGTTGTCGGTACACCCAAGACGTCCTAGTATTATTTCGAGTTCGAGGAAATGATGTGTTACATTTCAATCTCTCCCCTAAAAGCACTTTTCCTCTTTGGGTATGATGTTTGAGGAACTTTGTATATTACGGTCTCTCCACCTAAAACACTTCTCCCTTTAGGCCTCATGCTTGAGGGATTGCGTACATTTTGGTCTATCCTTCTAAAGAACTTCTCCCATTTGAGGGCTCATGCTTGAGGGACTATGTATATTCATGTCTTGTCATAGGTCGGGTATGAATTTGAGAATGAAATAATAAGTCTTGTGAGGAACCGTATACAGATAAATCTTTGGGCCAAGGTAAGCAAGGGGATCCAAGACAGACACATCTAATTAGATGACAGAAACATCTCTAAGCAAATATAGCTATTAAAGACGTATTAATAGGCATAAATGATCTATCATAGACAAGAAGCAATGGAATCAGACCGTATTAAATGACCTCAGACAGACAAAGACATGAGCGTTTATAGCTCATCAGTTGATCTTATGAAAATTGAGTATGCAAAATTGTATATAAACGGACAACCTAAAAAGAACCGGATATCTTTCACATTTTTCATACAACTCATACCAAAACTAACATTGCGATCTTAACTAGCTAAGATAGGATTATCAAATAGTGTACACAAAACGTTGTGTATGGTAATAATCTAATAAAAGTCTATTTGTTTTATATTTTTATAGAGACTAAAATTCTAATAGAAAAAATATGTGTGAACTAAAAATCAAATAAAGTTTTTATAAAACTAAAAATAAAACTTTATAAAACTAAAAACTTATTTGACCTGTTGTCAATCATATAGAAACTAAAACATTTTTACCCATTTAAAAACATATCATGATGTTCAATAAACTAATCCGTTGATGCAAATTATATACTTTTATTAAACTAAAATCCATTTAAAGATCTTTTATTAGAAATCCAAACATGAAAGACATTATTTGCTAATTCTTGTCTACTTCAAAAAGAGATGAAATCTAGAAACTAACAATTTAAGCTTTGAACATATCCACACATGTTTCTTTTGAAAGCCCTCTATTCCAGAATTTCTTGAAGTATTCATTATATTCAAATTCTTTATATTGAGCAGGATGATCATTATCTATGAGTTGAGGAGCTGGTTTCATGATTGCATCTGGTGATGGACAATAGAAAGTTGGAATAGACATTCTCTCTATCTCACTATTCACCAAAGCTCTATGCAGCACACTCTTATACCTATCATTGCTTATCACCTATAACATACATAAATAAGCACTTTTTGTTAATACAGAAATGATAAATAAGAATTATTGCTAAAGTCATTAGGAATAATTACCTGAATTTGGTCACCTATATTGACAATAAAAGTATTAGGAACAGGATTTATAGTAACCCATTTACCATCCTTAAGAACTTGCAAACCAACAACATCACTTTGCAGCAAAATAGTGATAACATTTGGGTCAGCATGTGCTGGTAAACCATATGTTAGTTCAGGCTCAGGACACGGAGGATAGTAGTTAATAGCCATGTGTTGTCCATGTTTGCCTAATGCTTTGTTTATGTAATCTTTTTCTAAACCTAAACTCTCTGATATTGCTTCAAGCATTTTCAATGCCAAGTTTCTCAGTTGCTTGCTATACTCTGCCACATCAGCCCTATATATACATCACAAATAAATTAAAATTGTAAATAAATATTTGGAAAATATATATATATATATATATATATATATATATATATATATATATATATATATATATATATATATATATATATATATATATATATATATATATATATATATATATATGGACCTGAAAGAAGGAGGGTTTGCAGGCCATTCATGAACATAATCTTCAAGAGGGTGACAATGAAGTCTCAAAAAGTCTCTCCAATTTGAAACTTTCTCAGTCTTCACATTAAAACTTGTCGAAAGTCTTGTCGTCTTCAATGGATCTTCAGAGTAACTCTTCATCCTCTCAGTCTCAGACATATTAAAGAATTCTTTTGACACATTCATCATGTCATCTACCACCTTCTCAGGAACACCGTGATTCACAATCTAAAAAACAATCAAAATAAAATTAGATTACACATAAGTAATGCATGTAAAAAAAAACTTAGATTTCATGTTCGCATTCACACTTTCAGTAATTACGTGACCATTCAATCAAGATCAAATAGCTGAAATCGCAAATATATTTGTTTTTCTCTTAAAATTAAAATAATCGAATATAATATCTAAATTGTTCGATCATAACACAATTACATAGTTATTGAATATTCATCATACTGCATTAGTAAATATTGTTGTATGTGTGACAATTATTTTAGTACTCATAAGAAAAAAAGAAGTTGAAAAGATTAAGATGTATACTTGAAAAAATCCATAGTTTTGACAAGCATGAGCAATTTTTTGGATGGTTTCAGAACGGTGTGAAGAATCTAAGCCTTGAAGATCAATGATAGGAATGGAATCATTAGTGGAAGATAGGAGCTGAAGATCTGGACGGTCATCAATGGGTCTGATGTAATTTGAAGGGACATGATTTAAGGTGGAAGCAAGGTCTGATAGTAGTGGCTTCATTGTTGTGGACATATTGTAAACGAAAGTTTCTAGGATTTGTGAAAATTGATTGATGAAGCAAGACAAGAAGTTGAGTCTATTTGTAAACAAGTTTCATCGGTGAAGTTTGTTGTTTATTGGATCATCATTGCTTATGTCATTATTTATCATCACATTTGTGATGTCATATTTAATGAATTTTTTATTTTATTTTAGAAAGCATGTCATTGTTTTAGTAAAAAATCGTGTCATTATCATGTCATTTGAAAATTGTTAAAGAACATGGCATTTTAATATGTTTATACAAGGAAGTGCCATATTTTACTAGCAGTGTACATTGCATTTATATAATAAAAATAGAATATTAAAATTTAAAAGAGAAAAATATATTTTATCACACAACAGTGGCAGTGTGTGCATGTGAACGCGTAACAGTCACAGTACCACAAAAAGAAATATACGTGTTGTTTAAATTTTGTGATGTCTGTTAGAATTTGAACTCTTTTTAGTTTTTTGGGTTAATAAATAAGGGGGTTTACATTGTTGTGATTTCTTTTATACACTCTAACTTAAAAGGTTGTGATTTCTGTTATAACTTTAACTTAAGTTGGAGGCATGCCGTAAGATTTTAAACACGGAGATACTCATTGTGATGTTTGTATATTGTTTTTTTCAAAAACATTTTAAACAAAGGGATATGTATTAATGCTAATTTATTTTATGAAGCTATTGCATGGGGTATATTTCTGTTTTTTTAGTTCTGAAAATATATTTCTAGAAATTGTTCAGAGATATATTTTTGGAATAAATTTATTCATAAATTGAGGTGTGAGTCAAACGAATAAAAAATGTGTGTTTTTGTGTGTTTGGAGATATATCTATGAAAATAGAAAACATTTTTAAAATTCTGTGTGATGCATTAGAAATATATATGGTGCTTTAAGAAATTATCTAAAGTTAAAGGTGTCAAATCTAACTCATTAATAGAATCTAAAATATTCATTGTTGATTTAATAGTTAGCTAGCGGAACGAATATCATTTAATGATAAGTAAAAAGTTGATTTATATACATTAAAAAGCCCAATGAGTAAACTCATCACATAAGTTTAAATTATGCAAACACTTGCGTAAATCACATTAAAAAGCACTTGTATGCCATAACACCATCATAAAGGTCCTTTCCCCGTCGCGGGCAAGCCCTAACCGTTATAAAACTACAAAGGCTTCAGAGTATCTTCTACCCGTGTAGGGATACCATACACACCAGCTCTTTTTAAAAAGTACAGTGACGCCCATTCTAGGACCACGATAAAACTAACATGTGTCATATCTTTTTCATCATCATCCTTTTCATCATTATCCAAGAATGACTTACAAAGCTCTACATTCCATGTTCAATACCATCGCATGAAGTTTCGCCGCTAGAGAAAGTTCCAACTCCTCATGGAGGAAATACGACATACAGGTGTTGAACACGGACATCATATTCCATGGGTTCCCTAAAAGGGAACAGGGAGAATCAGACATCAACATCACTTTCTATGGCAGTGATGTCGTCTAAATCCTTTCTCTGTGCATGATGGCAACGGTGACATCAAATGAGTCCTTATAGATCTAGAGAGTTCTGTTGACATCCTAATATGTGATGCTTTTTCTAGAGGCTTCAATTCAATCCCAATGACATTAATCCTTCAAAGGTTCGTGAACAGGATTGTCAAGTGAACAAATATAAGTGAAAGGCTACATAACCCTAGAAACAACCTATCCCAAGGCAATCGAAATCATCTATCTCATAGTAGACGCACTGTCACCCTACAACATCATCATAGGTCGACCTATAACACTCTAAACCCCTAAATATGATTTATAAAATAGTGCGGGAAATATGAAGATTTCAACCATGGTGTCACATTAACAACTTCCATTTTATCAGCAAAAGGCATGAATTCAAAATATAAAATTAACAACTTAAAAATGTTGCAAAACCCAACCCGATGTTACAATATCAGAGCAACACCGGATATAAAACTAAACAACTGACAAATGTACGACGAACATAAACAAAATAAACTAGCAAAGAGGCCAACTACAGCATCTTCTATAACCAATAGCTAATCACTCCTCGTCTTCAATATGGAAATCACCTGTATCAAATGCAACAGTAGGGAATATAGAAACAAGAAAGAGGTGGGAATACATTCATATATGATAACGGTGCATAAACAACAAGGATAGTTCACATATCAAATATATTCCATCAACACAATATAAAACATATAAATCATTATTCTATGTGTATTTCATCTACTCACATGCATGTGGTATCATCCTATAACGTTGGATCGAAGTCCTACAACGCTGGATATTAGAGTTATGTTACTGAGTGATCCTCAACATTTGACGGAAATCCTACAACACTAGACCAAAGTCCTAAACTATTTTACGATGTACATGATGCATGATTCTACAAACAAATGCAAATAGTCATCATCATAACCTCTTACTCCCATTATAATTTATCAATACAACCTTGGACCGAACTCCTACAACACTGGACCGAAGTCCTACAACACTAGTTCCTCTCTGAGCCTAAAACTCAGCACAACTCAACACTTTTCATCATAACTCATCATAATAATCAAAATATATTATTTTCTCATCAATACTCATCAGCAATATCAGAACTGCATCGAAAAATCATGTTTTCCTACCAATCATACATCAGATTCAAATAATTATTTAAAATATTAAACGGAGTCAGAATCAAGCAAATGAATATGTTATGAAAATCTTAGAGAGTCTATTTTAAAAATATTATTTTTATTTCAGCATTTAATAAATCAATTGTTTCAGTTTAATCAAACCACAAGAACGGGTACTCGCATCAGGCAAAATGTTTCGCCTGATTTCAAAATGGTGCAAAATATTATATGCTTATGTGAAAATTATGAAAAATCTCAATTACAAATATCACCAAACCCTCTTTCTAACACACATAACCGTATCTAAAAAAGAGTTATGAAACTCTAGTTCTATTCGTTTGAGTTTAACCCCGTCACAAATATTTCCTGCATAAACTCTAAAAAAGAATGTATGACTTAAAAATTGCACGAAAAATTATATACTCATGATAAAATTATGAAACTCTAGAGTTTGAAAGATCATTGAATTATCTTTCTAACAGAACTAACGGCATCTGAAAAGGACTTACGAAACTCAAGTTATGCTTGAAATAAGACGATCAACCCCTTCTATGGCAACCTGCGATTTTATGTATTTTTCTTTCTAATAAATAAATTCGCAACTCATCTGTTTAAAATATTTGAGTTGTGACCGCCCCAAAAACATACAGATAAACATTGGTTTATGTCACGCTTGCATTTCAACTCACCATTACTCAATCCTACCTAATCACAAGGCGAGTGATAACTCAACTAAGCTAATTCGCCTAACTCTAAAAATACATCAGAGTCATCAAAACTCAACTATAAGGTCATATACCTTCAACTTCAACTCTAAATCTGTCAAATGACTCTAAACAAATAAAACATGAGTCTAAAATCAACGCATTAACAACTTTAGATTCAAATCAAAATATGTTAACAACTCTAAACATATTAATTAACTCAAGATTCACATGTGACAACTCTATTAATGTATTTACCTACAGATGGCAAGGGTTCTTATAACCCTTGCCTTAACTCTAAAATTACCTCATTGTAGCTTGCTAGGATTTTCTCCACAAACCTCACTTTAACTCTAATATAATCACTCAACTTAATAACTCCACAAACTCATCACCCACAATTCACAAAATAATAAACACATCAATTGCACAAAATTGGACATTTATTTCATCAATTATCACCAAATCGACATTAGGTTCATCCATCCAAGGCTTATAATCATGGAAATCAAAAATTAACATTATACATATAAATTAATACGAAAATCAGCGATCAACCAAACACGAAAACAATATTTTATCACCACGATCTAGATAGGCTTACACAACCATCTCAAGATCCAAAATCTTCATCAATGGAAGAAACAAGAAAAAGGCAAAAAGAAAGAGGATGAGGAATTCTCTATATCCTTCATGCTTAAACATCCATAGTATGAACAGTTTTCCCCCCTTACCTTGAATTTTCAAAAAGGTTGAAACTACAATAATAGATTTCCTCTCTGCTTTCAAAAACTCTCATAGGATCGCATTTTCTCTCCTTAACCTTTTTCTCACAAAAACACGTAATGACAACTCTCTCACTCTTTTCCCTAAATTAAACTTAATTCATTTTTATTTTAATTAACTCCAGAAACTTCCCTCAACTCTCACTAATTCTACCCACCTCCCTAATTTAAATAAAAGTCTATTTTAATGTCCAAAACTCATTTTCTCATATTTCTCTATTATTTAAATTATTAAAAATATAATAAAATTCTAATTTAATATTAAACTATTTTCCTTGCTTCTACACTAATTTAAATAATTCAACTTACACTCATATATTAAATTAAATTAAATTAATAAATCAAAACACTTTCAAAACTCAATTAAAAGTAAAATAATCAAAATTGAGGTGTTACACGATCCACCATCAATGCGCTAGAGGCAGATATTTTCTCCCGGTGTATGTGTCATACCCTAAACTGTATCCTGAGTTTTTTTACTTGCATTTGCACGACATGATATTTCCATTTGATCATGCATTCCATTAGGCAAAAACATTCAATAGGGTTTAGGTGAAAAGTCATGAGTTCTGGTGTTTTGTTTGATCTCAATGGCATTCATTCAGTCATCTAATGACTAAGAAGTCATGAGTTCATTTCACAATCAAATTCAAAACGAATAATATGTACTTTAACCATTTCAAATAATAACGAAAGAAAAAGACTACCTGGGTGAAAGGTCCAATCATAGCTCAGAGTATTAGGCCCAAGTGGTAATCGCTTGTAAGTCATAAATACTTCGTCTTTCAACAAAATACCAACACATATCTTTTTCGCAATAAATGAAAATAAAAAGACTACT